GCACAGCGTTGTTGCTCTATAATTATATTTTCTCCTTTATTTCTTTATGTTTCCATTTTTACCAGCACAGTGTCTGTCCTAGCCCCCTTTTCATCAGATCGTCTGTCTCTTTCCAGTCTTTACACAGGTGCTGCCAGCGGGCTGCCGTCCTCCTCGTTGCTAGGCGACACTGGGGCTCCAGCTCAGCATCTCCTCCTTCTCTCGTGTCCAGGTCTCTTGACTTCCTCGCCCGGCGTTTCTATGATGTAGAGGCGCTCCTGAACTGGAAGTCCCGGATTGGGAAGGACCAGCTCAGAAAGAAGAACCTGTGAGACAAGCAAAGTTTTATGTGTCAAAGAGCTACATTTGGTACATTTTGAGCAACATAACAGTGGAACAATTAGTTTTTAAATTACACTGAGTTCAATTTTGAAGACAATAGTGAAAAATTAGCTTGGCACTATTATTTCTATGGGCCTACATATTAGAATGTGTGTACAGGATTTTTTCATGAATCATTTTCATCAGAAAATCATTATTTCATCATTATTGTAGTCCCTATTAAAATGCAAACATATGAGTCTAAAGTAAAAATGTTTGATCAAAATGCACAGCACCAAACTTGGAGACGGTGGCCTTAATTTGGGGTTATGATCGTTTGGGCTTGTTTAGCAGGAACTGGACACCTTGCAATTACACTGCAAAAAACACAAAATCTTACCAAGTATTTTTGGTCTAATTTCTAATTTGCTTGAAATAAGACAAAAAAACTTACGAGTATCTTTTCAGGAAGATATAGTATAAGTCAGTTAGTTTAATTTAAATCAATAATTCCTTAATAGTGATGGAAATGTACTGATTCCACTGGCAGATTATTTCACTTGTAATATGGGAAATGTCTTTTTTGTAAGTAAAAGTTTGGCATTTGATCATTTCATCATTCATTAATGAATTATTGACTTAAAATAAGCTGCTATAGCTTGCTGAGAAGTTGGGTTCCTGACAGACCTGTTGCTCCTAAGTTACCAACTGCACTTTTAAACAGTAATTGTGATGGGCTTTGCACCTTTAGTTTCCACATTTGTTTTTCACATGTGAAAATATTCCCTAACAGCCAAATCTGAGTTGGCTTCGGTTGTCTTCATTAAGACAGTCGAAGCCAACTCTAACACTTTGTCCGGCATCTCCTGAACAGCAAATACTTTAGGAGTTTTTAAGATTTGACCTTGCCAAACCTGGACTTTGGTAACCAAGTCATGCCTAATCCCATTTTCTCTTCTGTCTTTTACAGTTACTATGGTTACACTCACAAGCTTTATGGCCCAGACATAGCATCTGCCTATTATATTCTAAATCTAGGAGGAGGATTTAGGTAAGTGGCTCCTCCTCACATCCCTCTGCATTATTTTTAGTTGTTCTGTAAATGCTTTGTTGGGTAACTGAATGTTTTCCACATTTATTAAGACAGACTCAGTCTAACAGGATTATGCTCCTTCTGATTAAATGTTTATTATGATCTTGTCAGCATGGTGTGAAAAGGACCTACTGCAGGCCCCAGGGCCAGAGGACATTTTTGAAACTTGAGACTAAGTTTACTAAATTCTTCTAATTCTTGACTTAAGTGATGAAATCCAAAGACATTTTTGTTGAAAATTCAGGTTTTTACTCCAAAAATTGAAGACATCTTTGTACAAAAAAAGATTCAAATTATTTAAGAAATGACTTCCTTTGAAATTATTCTTTAAAGCTATAAATAAAGAACTATAACTTCTGCAACAAGCCGCTGCTCATATGGACACCTCACATATGAACCGCTTTTCGAATCATCAGCCTCCTCTCTCCATTCATCATAACTTCTGTTACTTCTGCAGGTTTGTGGGCCAGTCTGAGTGGTTCCGCGCCGACTCAAGGGGCAAATTCAACTGGGATTTCCTGAACTACAAGGACACACCTGTGGAAGAAGTAGACATGAGTCACACCATCATCAACTACGTAGGACTGTCCAACCTGGGTAATATGCTGTGATGCAGATGATTCCTCTCTGCTCTTTAATTTTTCAGAGTCACTGAATGTGTTGATCCTGTTCTTGATCTGATTTCTCAACACCTGCAGAGAGGCAACCTCTGCGGACTCTAAAGGTCCAAGGCTGTCCTGAGGTGGACGACTGGTTCCTGGCAGGACTCCACAAGTTCCAGGACTCTCTGGAGGAGCTGGACATCTCTCACTGTCCGAGGATAACCGTGGGCGGCCTGGCTGCTCTCAGGAATCTCAGGTGAGCTCCATACTCAGTGTATCCTACAGTCTGCAGCGCGGTGGTCCAAACCTTTTTTTTTTATATTCCAAAATTACCAAGACACATCTAATCTTTTTCTTTAACTGAAATAATCTTAACCTGCTCAACAACAAACTAAGCTTATGAATTTCTTGTAGATTTCTTCAGATCCAAAGTTTTGCATATTTTCCTTATTAAAGAAAGGCATCCGGTTTGCAATTTCTTTTGGGCTCAATTGGAAAAAATATTTTAAAGTTGCTTATTCTCAGCACTAACAACAGGATTTGGGTCCCTCTTTCTCTGACATGACACAGCAGTCGTAGTGCTGCAAACATAGATCCTGCTCTTGATGAAACATACCCATTTGTAGGACGCCAGTCATATAAAGAAGTTTATCACTAAACTACACAGTTTACCAATACATGTTTTCAAATGTATTGGTATTTATTAAGAAATATCAATTTGAAATATGAAAATAAAAGTATCATAAATATAATACTCCCCCTGAATAAACAGTAGAGAAAATAGTAAGAATGAAAACCCCGACAATACGGTTGGTTTCGTTTTTATAAACATCATTTATTTGAATTTTTCTCGACAATGATTAATCAAACTTCTTATCATAAGAAATTTGTCAACATACTAATTAACGATAGGATAAATCCAGAGCCCTACATGTAGTCTTATTCACTATGAAATTAAGGAAATAGAAAAAGTGTAATACTTAAAATGTGTGTTGTACCTAAAAGTTTCCTTTGTAAGATTCTAATTTGGTGGTAAAAATGTCGCCTCAATTAAAAAAAAACTCTCCATCTTTATCAGCCTGTGGTTGGAGGTCAAATTCAGATCATTCTCACAATAGAGTTGCGAGCCAAACAAAATCAGTCCAGGACGCACAAATGGCCTTTATGTCACACTTTCAATACCATTACTCTAAAGCAAAGTAACCAGTTCTGTAATGATGCTCTCTTTTTTGTGTGTCTGTGTACTGAAGGGAGCTAAAGCATCTGAATGTGTCCTCCCTCCCGAGGATTTCAAGTCCAGCGTTGGTGATCATCCTACTGGAGGAGATGCTACCTCAGTGTCAGATCACAGCACACGGCTACGACCTCAGTCAGCCTCAGGTTGGAGGAGAGAAGCCAGAGGAGCGCCTGGAAGCAGAAGGGTAGTGGGTCGATTACAGCCAGAATCACTGCAGAAAGACTTGGAGGCTTTTGGTGTTCTCTTCGTTTTTCAAAGAGCTCATGATAAGGTTAAGAATCGTGACATAAGTGCAGGACAAATAAGAAAAGCAAAAACATACAACAGATGTGGGAGAAGAAACATGTCACACAAAAGTGTGACAAAAGTGTGAAATATATGTCTGGATGCCCTGTGTATTTCTCAGTTTGTGAGTAAGGCTGCACATTGATCATGTAAATGTTCATATTTAGAAAATCTCTGTTCATGTCCAACTTCAATTTGCTGGGTCTTTGTCACTGAATGTAAAAATGGGTGTACATAATAAAGATTTTATTCTTCAAAGTAAGGATTATTGTAAACCTCATCGTGTGTATTCTTTTATATTTAACTTGCAAAAATAATAAACGTGTTTGACAAATCTATTTGAAACCCAAAATGCGGCTCAGTTTTTTGCAGTTGTCTAAAACTGAACTTTGGAGATTTTTACTTTCTTTACCATCCTGTTCACTCCATCCATGGTGGTGAGATAAATAAGATTCCTCAACCATCCAGTGATCAATAGCTGAAATAAACTTGCTTCTATCACTTGTGATATTTATACTTTTATTTGCTAGTGGTACCAACAACTATGCCACATGTGATTTTGCAGTAAAGTAATTAACCTTAAATTAATTTCTTTATTTGCTTATATTCCCTTTTGGTGTTTATTGCCTTTATTTGGTTGTAGCTATGATTAATTTCCTGTTTCAATATTTAATACTTTTATTTTGAAGGGACGACGTCCGGTCTAACTGGACTGACCATAAGTTGTAACGTAGACGACAAAATGTATCTTGTTAGAAGCGGCCCCCTTGATAGAGGCGCAAGGTATGTGTGTATTATGTAAATAAGTACATGTCTTAAATATTGTGTAAAACTGTGCACTTGCTTATATGCTAAAACTGAAGTTATTTTTTGGTTGCAGCATTATTTTAAGTTATAAACGTTAAGTTGGAAACGTAAAGAGTTGTCAAAGTATGTATTTTTGTTGTTGTATTTTGGCTTGCACAGTTTTTTTCAGTGCCTACATTCCTTACGGTGAAACCAGGGATTAGTGCTTATCAATAAAGTCTCATCCTTCACGTGGGGGCGGGAAGGGTATAATGCAAGTAATATATTTATTCATTCTTTCATTCATTTTTAATGTATTTTAAATGCTATGTAGTTAAGTGTAAGTGTATGTATTTGTAATCTGTACTGTGGAAGCTTATGTGAATAACTAAAGCCCATAATCCAGTGTGAGCCTGTTCTGCAGCAGATACACAACAAACTAATGAAGACACCAAGAAATGAAATAAACAGTAATAGTCGCTTATGCAATATCTTAATTGGCAGATGTGAAAATTAGACATTGTTAAAATACTGCTATGTTTGACTCATCTTATGTTCTACAACTAAATAAATTGGCGATACGTTTAATTGCAACTTTTGCTTATTAACGATGGGGTTAGTTGATATTAAGAGTTTTAGAGTATTATTTTTTTGTAATAATGGAAGTGAACATCAGCGGGAACTAATGACTCCGTTGAACACGGTAGCGGTACACGCGGACGTAATTTCCTGACGGACAACAACAAGAGGGAACAGCTGGGTACATTTAAAGCGTCGGGTTCCTGTATATTTTCTCCGATTTTAGCGATTTTTATTGAATGTGAACCAAAACAGTGTAGTGTTGGAGTCCTAGAAGGCGGATAAATGTCTGAATCATCAGGTAGGACGGCTGTCTGATCCAGAAAGGAGACACAGTTACTGTTTTATCGCGACATCTTTGTCCCTTTAAAACAAGACTGTCGAGTTTTACAACATGGTGATTTCATTTCCAGAGTCCCCTAAAAAAGAAGAACAAGAGGAGGAGGCTACAGCTGAACCCGAGGTGGGAGTCACTGTTTTCTGTCAAGCTTGAGTTGTTTTTTAGCTGCTGTCGTGCAGTGAGACCCAGACGATGGATAGCGTCATAACAAAGAGTTGCTCTGTTTCTGGCTCATAGCAGTCACCAAACCAGTGAACTGTTTCTACAAGTTACACGTTGTTTTCTCTGCAGAACCAATCGGACGACAGCAGTGAAGACGAAGCTACAGGAGAAGCAGATAGTATGTTTAAATATACTGCATACACTCATATGCAGTGGTGGAGAAAATACTCAAACGCTGTATTTTAGTGCAGTACTGTAGCAAAAATACTACATTAACATTTTTACTTGAGTAAAAGTAAGTGTTTGCTTTTAAAAAATACTTCAAGTATTGAAAGTAAATCGATCTATTCCCTGACATAATGTCCTAGAATATCATTAACTGTGAATACTATCAGTACACTTTCTTAAATACATCAATAATGTGCCATTTTAATGAATGATCAGCAAGAGGATGCAGGTTTTTATTGTGTTAGCTCTCTGGGATACTGTTTACACTTGTACTTGTGAGTTTATGCACCAGAATTTCAACAGTTAAATACCTGTGAAAGTTTTTATTTAACCAAAATCAAAACCATTGTGTAATTTTAACTGCAATAAACACATTCAAGTAAAAGTTGTCTGCTTGAAAAAAGCGGCATTAAACACACTTAACAGGGAATATTCACTGGGTCATAGTGAACAATATTTTAATTTCCTGACACCATTTTCTAAACTTGGACCAGGGCCACATGGAGTCATTTTTGAACAGGTTAACTTGAATAAGGCTTTGATTACTTTCAAACTTATAAATAACAACAACAAAAAATGTAATGTGTAACACAACATATTATAGAAATTTAGTAATACTTAATGTGAAAACATGAATAAACTGATCTTGTTTTTCCTTTTTTCTCCTGTCCTTTCCAGTGGACTTCTTGCGTGGCCTCTTCTCCAGTGCGCTGGGATTGGGCTCTTCAGAGAAGGTTCTGGATGAGTTGTCTCTGGAGGGCGTGGCTCGCTACATAAATAGCGGCAAATGTAAGTTTTATTATGTTTTACTTTATTTCTGGGTATTTGCAGGGTTATAAACTCACTAAAAATGATAATAATAAAAAATATATATTTATTCTGAGAACATTCATCCAGAAAAAGAAAACAAGATTTAGAGAGTGCTAAATTATTCATTAATGGATTCATGACTGAATCATGAATCCATTTATTATGCATGTTTTTACCTGTCTCTGTCATAGGCAAAAACATAATTTGCATGGTTGGAGCAGGAATATCAACATGTAAGTATTTCCCATTCATGTTGATAGAATAAACCACTTGGTGATGATTATTATTAAACAACTTTTATCCTGTTTGATTAATTTCTCATGATTTCTTTCTGCACAGCTGCTGGGATCCCGGATTTTCGCTCTCCAGAAACCGGTCTCTATGCAAACCTGCAAAAGTACAACCTGCCTTACCCAGAAGCCATCTTCCAGATCGATTACTTTAAGGTCTGTTCAAGATTTAATCTCATCTTTCAAAACAGTGACAAGTGAAAGGGAAAGAATTTTTCATAATTTCATCACAGAAACATCCAGAACCATTCTTTGCTTTGGCCAGGGAGCTGTACCCAGGACAGTTTAAGGTACAATACGCAGCCTGCAGATTGGGAAAAGCTGGTCCTCACCAAATACTCAGAGTTGTGTTTTACTCTCATGCTTGGTTTTAGCCCACAATCTGCCACTACTTCATAAAGATGCTGAAGGACAAGGGGGTTCTGAGACGATGCTACACACAGGTGGGGGGAAAGAAAGAACATGTTGCTGCACACAGAGTAATTCAAATTACTTTAAGTTCCTGTATCCATGTTGGTGTGCATGTCTGTTCAGAACATCGACACCCTGGAGCGAGTCGCAGGGCTGGAAGGAGACGATCTGATTGAAGCACATGGAACGTTCTACACCTCACACTGTGTCAAATTCCTCTGCAAAAAGGAGTACAACCTGGACTGGATGAAAGGTGCTGTGACATTTTTAAGCTCCTGTGATCTCCTGAGATTTGAGATTCTAATTTTGTCTGTGTTTTAGAAAAAATCTTCTCTGATGAGATTCCAAAGTGTGAAAAGTGCAGCAGTTTGGTCAAACCAGGTCAGTCTGTCATTACGTTTGTTCATTTAAAATTTAGTGTTATTCATCGTAGTACTGCAAATTTTGTTGCTACATCACTGACTTTATTTCTGCTTCCAGAAAGATCCCAGATTTTGCCTCACCATTTGTCCTTATCTCACTTTCCTCAGATATAGTTTTCTTTGGAGAGAACCTGCCAACCCGTTTCTTCACTTCCATGAAAATGGTGAGCACATAACAGTGAATTGTTCAGGATTTAACCTCTGCAAAAACATAAACGAATTAATGTCTCACCTTTGCTTCCCTGTCAGGATTTTCCTCGATGCGATCTCCTCATAGTCATGGGCACGTCTCTGCAGGTTCAACCGTTTGCAAGTTTAGTCGGCAGGTACTCCACATCTAGTCTCAGTAGCATTTATGATCTGATTGTGTAATGTAACTTGGTCATTTCTGAAACTGTCCTTCTTTGGTTTTCCTGTTTGATTCTTTCATCTTCCATTTTTGTCATTTAGGGTTTCAAAAAGTTGCCCCAGGTTGCTCATTAACATGGAGAAAACAGGACAGGTGAGTCTTTACCGCTCCATCACCTTTACATACCTAGTTTCTTCACACTGCCTTGTTTAAGCCTCTGCAGCTGGAAAGGTTTATTTGTTTCTGTCTGCAGGCAGATCCGATGTTGGGGTTGCTCGGCTTTGGAGGAGGGATGGACTTTGACTCAGACAAGGCGTACAGGTGATGCTGAGATTCTGTCATATTATTTGATAAAAAGGTTTTGATGTTGATTCCTACCTATTGAGGATACTTTTATTTTTATTAGAGGTGATTTGAGAAACTGACAGTTTCCAGATTGACCAGACAGTTGGAAACATTTTACATGAATTTTGATTACTGTCATAAGTTGTGTTATATTTCTTAAAAACAAACTGTATTTATTAACCATTACAATAAAACTTACAATTCTGATCAGTGCATCTTTGTTTCTGATCCTAATTATTCATGTCTTGTTTTCGAGATGATTGGTATTATTTAACCACCAGGGGGCAGAGAACTATCATGCATAATTTAGGTAGAAATGACTGAATATAAATATCAGAATAGCATCCTGAAAGAATTGCCATCAGTGTTTTTTCTATTTCTCTTCGCATGACGCCAAGAATAGAATATAGGTATATATTTTATTGTCCCTAAAGGGAGATTTGTCTTGGGCATAGTTCTACACAGTTGCAAGTAAAAACATTACAACACCACAGACTGATGAAACACAGACTCAAATCAACAGTGCATCAAGTGGTGTGTATAGGTGTTAGTGGTGAAAAGCAACTTGCCAAGTTGCTCATGTGCCGTGGAAAAGACTGATTGAGGCTGGAACAAATGACAGTTTCAGTCGGTTGGTCCCACACTGTGGCGCCCCCAGTCTCGTTCATATTCAGTGAACTGTGGGTGTTCATAGTCACATTCTCATCACTGCTTGTTCATTTATAGTCTGTCTGGGTTCATAGTGTTTCAGGATGATTATTTTTATGATGGCTATATAAATGTAAGCCTGCCACTAAATTGGGCAGGTAAGTTACTAAATCAGGCTGTGATACAGTACCATGTAATGTTTTTCAGAGTGGCACCGTAAGAAGAAATCACCAACCAGATGCAATCTTGGTCTTCTTAGAAAGTATAATCTGTACTGCGGTTGTGTGTACAGAAAGTCAGTGCTATGTAGTTACTTCTATCATCAGATTAACAAGTAAAAAAAATAAATAAAATTTCCAGTTTTAAGTTTAGAGTCTGAAAGACAGACATGTGTGTGCAAAGTGTACAGCTATTTATCTGCTTTGAATTTTGTTCTTTGGTTTATTTGTACCAAGAGATTTTAAGCTAACCCCTTTGTAATTAATGAAAATAACATCAGGGATCAACATTGACATATATGATTTTAGATATATTTAAAAATTTGTTCATTGTATATTTGGGTTGGGTTTTCTTGTTTGTTTTTATGCTCTTGTGAAAAAGTTTGTTTTCTGAAACGGTTTGTTGTGCCTTTGATAATAAATCCACAGAGATAAACAAAAGTGCAAGGAAAATCTAAATTTAACAACGATGGATTAGTTAAAGACATAGATTGTATTTTGTGGTTTGCTTTGTTGCGGTGGGATATGAAAACCTGTCTTGAAATCATCTCCGCATCCAACATGTCGTATTTTTTCCTGGTTTCAGAGACGTAGCTCAGATCAGTACGTGTGATGATGGCTGCTTGGCTCTTGCTGACTTGCTGGGTTGGAAGGTGAGCCACACAGTTTTCTCATTGAAATCTTATATACCTGCAGCTTTGCAGTGTTTATAGCTGAGCTCCATCAGTAAAGAATGAACACATAATCATAAAGCTGCTGTGTCATTGTTTATCTAAAATGCATTTCATGTGGGTCTAACTATGGAGAAATGAAGGGCGTTCTGTCAAACATCAAGTATTGACACACTTGAAGTATATTCTTTTGTACAGTGCATGTGTATTAGGATGTAAATGTGCAAAATTTAAAGTGTTTTACTGTATAATGACAAGAGTATGCTATTTTCAGTGTGGTATGATTCTCTCATCCTCCAAAGTTTATAATTACTGACCATCTTTGTCTGAAAGTTTGGTGTTTTTCCATATACAGCCTCCAAAATCACCTCATTGGTCATAAAATTAAGCCAGAATAGGTCAGGCTGCTGTCAGTTGGTGTCAAATATTCAGCATGCTGAGATGAGCTAAATCTTCATCAGTGCAGACAGAGCGTCTGCAGTGTAGCATAAAATAAAGTCATGCTGTTATCGAGTCATTGCTGTAAGATTTGCATTGCAATAACAGTGGACTCTGTATATTCGAAGCTCATTACTTGTAGATTTTTCTGTGCAAAATTATCTAAATTATTGCAGAAAACCCGTCTGTTACCAGATTTTTTTATAGAGCATATTTCTAAAATACTCAAAAGTAAATCCAGCTTTGGAAGCTGAAATTCTTTGATGCAATAATATTGGTTGTCCTTTCCACAGCAGTCAATCCAGCAGCTCCATTCATTTCCCTTGGAACTGATTGACTGAATTACAAGAAATTACACCTAAACAAGAAAGACTATAGTTGCTAGCATCTGCTGTATTGCTAAAACCACTGTGTGTGTTAATGCACATTGAAATATATTTAGTGTTTGAACTGTTAAAATAAGCAGTTATAACCATTTTTAGAGGGAAGTCTCAAGTATTTGTGGATTTTAGTTGTTTGTGGACGGTTTTATGGGGATTTTATAGTACTAGCTCTTATGTGTCATATATCTAAATCATAAACCTCATGCTACCTGGAGATGGCATCTCTTGGGCTACAATATGAAAGACATTACTCGGGATCTGTTAACTTTAAGCTGCGTAACTTCATGCTTCATAGAAACACAATATTCATTTGACACCATAAAATTTATATTTCTTACTTTTTGGTGCTCATTTCTTCTCTAATATGTTTCTTTTCTGTATTCATCCCTGTTTTGTTTTCCACATCCGCCCAGGCGGAGCTGGAAGAGCTTGTGAAGAAGGAGCACACCAGGATCGACAGTGAGGACAAGCAGGAGGGTCCCGGAGGGAGCAAAGGAGCTGCAGCCAAAGGCGCTTCGGCTTCAGCTGAACCAAAATCCAAAGCAGAGGAGTGACCTGCACTTAATTAACAAAACAAAAGCAACGACGCAGTTTAAAGCTTAACCAGAGGCTAATATATAAGAGTTTGATGTTCGGAAATGAAGCTCTGTTGGGTTTCTCTAACTGTATATTCTCAGATCTGAGGACGGTTCTTTCCCGTAATTATACTTTTGTTTATATCTGTCATTTTGCACTTTACTAACATCTCTATATTTTCTACAAGCTTCCATTTGCCCCAGCTGCAGATAACATTTTTCCCTCTGATAACTTTAGTTTTGTTGTATGTAGGTTTTAGCCCCATGCGTTCCTTCTAAGCATAAACGACTCTTAATGATTGACGTGTGCTGACGAGCTGCATTTTAATGAGAACCGGATTTGGATTTCAGATAACAAGGTTCTGTTAGGTGGCCTAACATTCACTCCCCCCAAACTAAAAGCGGTTCATCTGATAAAGCTGTCACAATGTTTCCGTCAGAGAACTAACTTCCTGACCTGGTTGGTAAAAATTTTGATACATTTGATAGATGGGTTTACTAGAGCCATCACTGGTTTTTACGTTTGTTCAACTTTTAGTCATTTTATTTTAATTGTTTTGTCATTTATGCAAAACTATAAGACAAATAATATTTTTGTGTAATGTTCATCTTGGAACAGCAGAAAGAATTGGAAGCAGTCACTTTTCAGTCAAGTTTAATTTTAATGGCCAGTAAATTTAGATTCAAAGCAACATAAAAAAGAAAAAAAAAACAGACGTGATTCTTATGGAAAAAATGCTGAATGAAAGATATCTGAAGCAATGTGTTAAAAAAGAAAAAAAAGTAAAATACTCACCTGGACTTAAATATGTTGACATGTACTAATTCTAGCAACCAGTGCAAATTCCTGCAATAAATGTTTCCTTTATTAAACTGATCAAGTTCACTTCGTGTCAGTGGAGAAGTGTGTCATTCTATTTTCTTCTTATGAATGCAGTTGATTAAAAACGATAGTGGAAATGTCAGACTGAAACTCTCGTCACCGCACGTTGCTCCGTCTGTCATTCACCTGCCTAATGACGATTTACTCAGGATTTCCTCCTCCTTAGAAGTTTAAACTCTGTACGATCGGGTCAAAGGTCATTCATACAGATGTAGATTTAAAATCGTTTTTATTCAGTCAAGAAGTTTATTCTGAGAAGAAATCAGATTGGTGTCTTTCAAAAGAGAATAAAACAACATAAAAGGAGAATAAAGTTAAAAATTATTTGTTGAGTTGAAGTCTTTAAGGTAAGAAGACCTACTTTCCATCACCCTAATCTTTTGCTCACAGATTCTCAGTCAGATTCAAGTCAGAACTCTGAGCTGCTCCAGTACATTAGCATCATTTCTCTATCAACAAATATCAGAGCTGAGCAGTGGTCAAGTAAATTTACTTGAGTACAGTTTTCTTTGAATTTGTACTTCACTTTGAGTAGCAGTTTGTTTGTTTTTTTAGTTTTTTTGGAAAAACTTTTTCTGATGCTTATTTGTAAAACTTTCATTTCATTCACAGTGTATGTTGAAAACATTGTGCGATAATGTTTGCGTTGCAGTTGGTTTAATTTATGACTGGCAAGTATATTCATATTTTGCTTGTGCTACATTGTCTCCGCTCCCAGTTTCAGTTGTTTCTCTGCTGGATTCTGCTTAGTCCAGGTGGGTTTGAGCAAAAACAAGCAGAGGAATGAAGCTGCTGCTAACTGCATTCTTCTTTTATTGTGATAAAACAGGTAAGTAAATCCACAATTGCAGCACAGATGATTAGGGATGCTTCATCCGGAAGATTTATTTCCTTAATATTGGGAGATCAGTGATCGGCCGATGCCTGCATGTGAAACCGATCTTCACATCTAATCAATCAAAAGTGGTTGACTGGTCTAAAAATCAACCACTGTCCTCTTTTGCTCTCCTGTGAGAGAGGTTTGACTGACAGACCAGCCCATAAGGTCATGTCTGCACATTTTCAGCTAAAAATAGTCACACCACCGTTACCGTTAGGCAGAACTGGCAGGTCGAGCTTTTTATCGGCCCATGCCTACAAATGATGTTTAATTTTTGTATTTGATGCTTTTGATCCTCCGGCGTGTTTAAACACAATCAGGATTTTTATGTAAAGGGGTGCAGCGTCCTCAATGTGCTTTAATGGTGACCACAATAAAGTCTTACTGGACATACGTTCAAATTTCCTTTCGGACGGTTACAACGGGGGAGTAAATCATTTAAAATAATGAGTGAAACTGCATTCATAAAGTTTATGTTATCATGTAATAGTGTAGATCTTTCTTTAATTTAAATTTGATGGTATGCAATAAACTAAGATTTATTTATATATATATAAACTTTAAATATTACTAGGTGTTGGTATTGGAGAAGCTGGTCTTGTATTTATATAATATTGGATCAATAACAAACTGTGCAGTATTGCACATGTCTAACGACAGAGATAGACAGTATTAAGGTTAAAAATGTGAAAGAATAGGTAACGATTTTTATGATGACTGTGTTTGATTCTGTGCCATTTAAAAAAAGCAGAAACTCTCAGCAACATATAAAGGAGGTTTCACTTAATTAGCTCTCACTAGATGCAGTTACACCGAGTTGTGTTAAACAAAAACTCAATCAAGATGTATGCTGTGTATCAAATTCTTCTCATGTTTTACACTCAAAAACATAAAATCAACTATATATATATATATGAGATATGTGTGCGTTTGCAGCAGTCTCAATGTTTAGTTGCAAGTACCTCTAATGCCTCAGGCCACAGCCATCTGCCCCCCCTCCTCCTTACTTCACATCCACTCCTCTCTTCTCACTGCACCCTTTCCTCCAGCAGTCACCACTGCCATATATCTAATTTATGGCCGTGCTGAGTGTGTAACAGACTCATGTATGCATAATATATCACATGTGTAAAAGAAGTGCGTTTCAGAGGAGAGTCATAGTGTAAGATTGGGTTCTGGCTAGTTTAGTCTGGACCACAGCATTTTCCTCAGATTTAGGCCGAAGTGTGTGCATGCGTCTGTGTGTGTGTGTGTGTGCGTGTGTGTGAGACGACCCAGCTGTTTCTGGGCTCAGCATCCACATGCAGGCAGAATGCCAGATGTCTCATTAGGCAAATTTGATTGGCTCGGGCGTTCAGGATGCAGAGGCGAGATAGTTCCATATGTGTGTGTCCATGACTTTGAGTGTGTACATTTACATAAGAGGGCCCCTGGATAACTATTGACATGTGTGTATTCTCAGTGCATGTGCATTCATTAGCCTGTGCTGGAACACTTGAATTTACAGGCTGTTGATTAAAAGGCAATAAAAAAATAACTATGCAATAATTCGATATGAAGAAATGCAGCCAGAAAAAGCCCTTAGAGCTTTTTAGCTTTTAACATATGCAGATCTTGGAGCTTATTCAGTTGTCTTTCACTTGAACAGGATCTGTGTTTTAAGTGTCACAACTTTCAGGTCACAAACTGCAGCTCAAGCAGCTACTTTAGCTTGCGCTTCAAACTCAACAGCATCTATTAACCTTCAGCTTTAACCTCCTTAAACACTTACGAGGGAGCGCTTGATTAATAATTTTTCCCTCCTCATTTGGAACTTGACATGTTTTGAGCCTCTTCTTCACTACAACTTCATTTTACTGCAACATCTTAGCTTTAAAACTCTCAAATTTATGTGCAGTAGTTTATATA